GAAATTTTTCTGGGTAAGCTTTACAATTACCTCCCTTCCCGCCTCTTTACAACGATCTTAGATCAAATCAACCGGATAGTTGGGTTACAAATTTTTGCCGAACTGGTATCAAATTCCTTTTTTGTTTTTGGAGCATTAAATGTTCATCAAATGATTTTGTTTCAAAAGTTTTGTTACTCACCGATTAATGTTATTGAAAATATTTAAAAGGATAATACCCCTAGGAAATTTTTTTTTGCTTAATAAATTAAATGCATTGAACATCTTTATTTATTTATTTTCTGAGAACAAATTAAAATTCGCGCATTTATTTTTAAAGGGACTACTATATGTATGAATTAAATTGAATATATCAAAAAATAATTTCTTCTTGTATTTAATTGTACAAAGGAGAAATATTTGTTACGATTATTATAATTGAAAGGAAAGTTTTTTATTGCAAAAGATTCTAAAGAATATGAATATATAAATTAAGTTTTTCTTTTCTAAAGCAGGAATTCGCCGTCTACAAATGACTCTACAAGAATATCTAAAGAATTTTCACTTTGCAAATTTGGGCAAGAAATTTTATTGAATGAGTATAATATAAAAATTCACAAAGAACTTTTTTTCATTGTAATTTGAGAAATAAACTACAAAACATAAATGAGCATTTGACCAATCCCGCTCTTACATGTTTTAAATGTCATGAGTGATGTATTATTAAAAATAAGTACTTTTAATAGTATAGATTCACTTTCCAAACGAAAATTAATTAAATCCGTAATATTAAAAAATATATTCCGTTTTTTTACTTCAATTAGGGAAATATTTATTATGGGATATGAATTGAAAGCTGTTACTCGTTCCTCCATGCAGGTGTTAAACAAACATGGCTTTAATAAAAAAAAATTTATCAGATAATAAATAAAACGCTTTCAATGACTACAAAATTAGAAACCGTGCAACGTTAATTATTATTGTAATACTAAACCTCTATACTAAACCTGATTCACCACATGGCGTGATAGTGATCAACAAATATGATAAACAATCATTGTCCAAGAATAAAAAAATTTTAACGTTGCCTCAAAAAAAAAAAAAATTTTATCCATTGAGATTTCACTATGTACTGTTCGCATTTCTTATATGTTACTTTTTTCTTTTTTTCCCACTACATCAATTTTTTAAAAAAATGAGTTTCAATCTTTGTTCTGTGAAACAATTTTTAAATGAATTTTATACATTTAGTCATGCATTGAGAGCGCTGATGCATGTCGGTTAGTGGCTTTTAATCTCCATAAATTTAATTTTTTTTTTCAATTGATGGTAAATATAGTCATGTTGTATCAATATACAATCACTTTAACATAATTCAAAAAAACACAATAAACATTAAAAAAAGGAATGTCACGTAATATCAAAATATTTAATTATGAATGTCTAATTACATTGCCATTATGATTAACTAAATAACCAACTCATTTTTCAATTTGCAAGTGCAGTATAAGCTTATACACACGAATATTGATCTGCCATAAAAAAAGTCTAAGGGGACTAATATCTAAATAATTCCAAACGACGACCTCTTCAAATGTTAAAAAAATTATAAATCTATTAAATATACTGTAAATATAAATATAAATGCTTTAACGTTAAAGCAATTGATTATACACAAAAATATATTTTTTTTTTATTATAGATATATATAAAAAAATCGTTTTGTTTTGATTCATTTGAAGATAATTAATTATGATAATATACCCTCTCTAATAAAAAATGTATCTTTACCATTATTTTAATCCTCGGATAATTTTTTCTTCTTGGCCCTCTTCTTTTCCTTGTCTTTGTTGACCTTTTCCTTGTCCTTGTTTTCGTCCTTCTTGTTCTTGTCTTCCGTCAAATTATCATCAGTCTTTCTTTTAACTTTTAAGAAAAGTAATTGTTTAAGATTATTATCATAAAACTTAATACGTTTTTATTTGTTACCATAAAAAATATTTACCTGATGTATTATTATTAGAAGTAATAGAAGGAACAGTTTGATTTTTCAGACTTTTTATTGACATTACAAACATAGCGGATTTTATTAATCCACTTAATAGCCTACTGGAGTAGATTGCATCCGGATGGGTTAATCTAGTCGGTCCAATTTCAATCGTTCTAGATATCTCCGTCCCGGATTTACGTTCAATTTCCCACATATCGTTTATTCTTTTAGTTATTTCAGAAGCAACTGGTCTTTTAAGTGGATCATAGTCCCAACATTCTCGCATTAATTCAATATAACCTGTAGGTGCATTTGTGACAATTGAAGGACGAAGACCATCACAAATTTCAACGATAAGTTCTGCATCATGTTTCTTATCCCAGAAAGGCCTTCTACCATTCATAAACTCCCACATTATCATGCCAAAGCTATATACATCCGAAGCCATGGTATATTTTTTTCCTTCAAAAATTTCTGGAGCGACATATGGAATGACTCCATAAATTTCATTATCCCCTTGTGAATCGTTCGCTGATTCGATTGAAGATCTACTCAATCCTAAATCACATAACACTGAAAAATTTCTTTCAATGAGGATATTTCCACCATGAAGATCTCGATGAACGGTTTCAGAATTATGAATATACTCAAGTCCAGTTGTGATACTGTGCAGCGTGTACAGTTTCTTGCACCAAGGGATATAGTTAAATTCATCTATTATGTAATGATTTAAATCGTATTGATGATATTCCATAATTATAATAAAATCTTTTGACAGGGGTTCTTGGGTGATTCCATAACATCGATTTACATAATTAAGATCCGAATGCCTTTCCAATTTCCATTTTAAACTACGGAGATAAAAAATTTTAAGCTGAAATTTTTTTTTTTTTAAAAAAAAAAAAAAGATTTTACACGTTAACTAATTTTTATCATTGTAATGACGAAAAAAGTAGGGAAAAATTTTATACCTCATTTAACTCCTCATAAGTGATATGTTCAGAATCGTTAAGTCTCTTTAGGGCAACGTTCATAGGGCCAGACCGTTCAAAATTCAGCTTGTTCTCGTCCCAATAAAGAAAACCTTCGGTCCATTGAGCTTTATAAATTTTACTGAATCCACCTGCGGCAATGAATTCTATATTTTGAAATCGATCATAGGGAACAAACTCCATCACTCCAACCTCTAGGTAAAGTCTAATTTGCGTATTCCTAATAAAATCATCCACAACTTTATTCCCGGTCGGTTTAAATAATTTGGCTGCTTTGTGACAAATTCGGCAAACTCCTTGAGTTTCATCTAGAGGTCTTCTTTTATTGCATTCGATACATGCTTTATATTCAGGAGATTTTTTAAATAATGGCTTTTTTTTCCTTGGTGGTACCTGGTCGCGCCTCGCGTGCTGAGGAACTAAGACCATACTTGAAGGAGCGGGACCACTTTCCATTAAAAAATCAATTTTTAGTTTATAATGTTCCATGTTCATTTTGCTCTCAGTTTTCTTTTTCTTTTTTTTTTTAAAAAAAAAAATAATAATAATATATATTTAAATAAGTAAATATCGGATATATTTCGAGAAGAAATTTTTTTTTTTTAAAAAAAAAAAAAGGTCCCTTTTTAAATAAGCAATGTGGTACAAAGAATTCCATGGAAGATTTATGCAGAACTAATGTAAAGGATTCCGTTGTTTACCTTATATAAGACGTTACATTGAAGTATAAATCAAGTGTGTAATTGGATGATAACGAAAGATAATGTAGAGTTGAGCTTGCCCTATGAAAAAAATTCCGGACTGTAGTGTACAGAAATCGTTTATGTAAAAGTATCTCAAATTTAAACGTGCAACATGTGAATAAAAAAAATTAAAAAATTTTTTTACCTACGTCACGATAAGTTTAAAAAATAATTAATGAATAAAGAAAATTTCACTCGAGAAATTTTTTTTGTTTAATGTATCAAAATAATTAAATAACTTAATCATTTATTAGAAAATTTCAATACTTAAATAATAAATATTAATGCATTAGTTATATCATCTTGCAGGAAAATAAAGGTTTAAAGTGGAAAATTTATGACAATTTGGACAAGGATTTTAAAGTTCAAATTCTTTGGTACAAAAAATTTAGGAATTCTAAATCAGGATTTTATCAAGTTTTAAGACGCCATATGATCCATTCACATGCTGAAAATAAACCTTTGGTTTTTCAATAGAAAAAAAAATTTCAAAAAGGTTCCCGTAATGCTCCATATAATAATATATTATAATAAGCACATATATGTACAAATTAGAATTTCAATGGTCAAATTTGTACAAGTCACAAGGATTGTCACACTCCCTCAAATGGTAAATTGGCTCAATTTGTTGGGGCAATTTTTTTTTACAATCTTTTAAATCGAAAATTCTTTGTACTTGTGTATCAAATCGTTGTTCATCCAGTAACTAAATTTGGAGCAGTCGAGTTACCGTGGATTCGGAAAAAACGCGTTACGTACCATCTGTAATTTTTTTTTTCCATTATAATTTCACAAATTCATTTATGAAAAAGATAAGTTGTTGTCCTACTCCATCTGTTGCTGCTGCAAGCACAATTTTATGGACCTTTTCTCTTCAAGAACTTGGTGCATTGCATAAAATAAGCGGAAGAGCAATGTTCATTATTACCAAAGTCTCCATTTGGAATTTCGTGAGTGGAGTATTTGAAAGTTGGTTAACTTAGATTAGAATTTAATAACGCAGTACGCGATAATTTAAATGAAAATACATCCCATCCGTGAGTATCTTTGATAAAGATAACGAGACAAAAGTGAATAATAACTTATCATCCTTTTTTTTGTTTCTATATATAGGGGGCGAGATTGCATTGGAAATTATTACAACAAGCTATCATCTTATATGAGAATTAGAGTTGGGTTGAGCCAGAAATGATATGATATTTTCTGTCTTTACCATCCGACTGATACTAGAAGACGATTCGCATCATCCTTAATTTATACACTGCTGGTATTGATTTATAATGTAGGAAGAAGTATATGTATGTCGGAAAGAACATCCTGACTGCATGTACCAAGCAATTTTGGAATCCTTTGAAATTTTATCAGGATTATCAGTCAGCTGCATTTAAGTGAGAACCATTAATTGATTTTGCACGAGGCAATGTGGAGTTTCTTTGATTTACAAAAGGATCTCGCAAGAATGGATGTTTATACAACTAATCCTTTCACTCCCATATCGTTCCTGAGAGGCCGGTCAAAAGTATTGCATCACCCGAACACAAATCTTAAAATTGCAATTTCTTATTTTTTAGACTTATTATAACGAATCAATTTAGTGGTATAAAATTCGTTACACCAGTGATGAAATAAAAATTTTTTAAAATAATATATATTACCTTATATTATTTTATTATAGACCACAAATTTTTTCACATCACGTGACTATATAATTTTCATTTTTATTTATATTGAATACAATATTGGAATCTGTTGGAATCTGTCCTTTTTTCAAGGCATTTTCATGCCCTATTTATAAAAAAATTACAATTAAAAAAGATCTATGGCAATAATTATAATTATGATACTATTGACAATAATAATAATGCTAATAGATATACTAATAATGTTAATTATAAAATAAATAATAATAATAATATAAATAATAAATATGTCCAATTTGGCAGATATGTCATATTTGATAGGTTCATCAGTTTTGACAGATTTGTCTAATCTATCAATTTTATCTGATCTGTCAATTTTTATCAATTTCAATGTCTTTTTAATTACAAGAAATTGTAATTTTAAGATTTATATTTATGTAATACAATACTTTTTGACTACCACTATACAGTTTCATTTAGAAGTTTTATTTAATATAAAATCCTTATTCATGATAAAATATTAAAATTAAATAATAAACTTATTAGAAAATTAGAAGCTGTTAATATTTTTTACTTAATTAATACTGATGAAAATAGTCTAAAATTAGATAATTAAATTTATACTGTTTTTAATACTATTTATGACTGATTAGTCATATTGTCTAATTAATACAAAGTACTATTGATTATTACTGATTGATTTTAATTAAATATAGCTAAGGTTACTAGATAAAACTTAGAAGTTTTGCAAGTCATCTAAATGGAAAAAAGTAATATTTAGCAAAATTATATTAAAATTTTATTAAAAATCTGAAAAAGGTAAAACTATATCAAAGCTTATAAAAATGCGAAACTATATTAAAACCTTAATAAAAATTAGCAAAACTAAAGTTTAGATATCCAAAATGAGTTTATACAAGCAACCTTAAATGTAACTATTCAACATTAATTTGAAATTTAAATTTAACTATAAATTAACCTAAAATTGATTTTAATTTAACATCAATTTGAAACTTAAATTCAACCATAAATCAGCATAAAATTGGTCTTAATTCAGCATCAATTTAGAACTTAAATTCAACTATAAATTAGTTTCAAAATCATAGATTGATTCTATCAAACAAATAATTTAGTATTAATTTGAAATTTAAATAATCATAAATATCTGATTATTTGGTATTAATTCAGTCAAATAAATATATAAAATCTGTATATTTTATTTAATTAAATTTATTAAATATTATAATTTATTAAATAAAAATATAATATAAATTTGTAAATTATAATAAAAATATTACTAAAACTCAATAATTAATTTTCTATTAAAAAAATAAACAAAAAAAAAATAATATAATAATAAAAATATGATTCATTTTCTTTTAAAATTATTTTTATTATCCTAAATATTTATTCACTATAATATTACTATTATTAAAAAAAAGTATAAAATATAATCTATTTTTCTCTTAAAATCTTTAAAAATTATCCAAAAATATAAAAAATAATAAATAAAATAATAAAAAATAAAAATATCTACACTTTCCTATCAAATATCTAAAATTCATCTTTTCTTTTATAAATAAATTAAAAAAAAAAAGTAAAAAATGAAAAAGATTAGGAAAAAGAGGAGAATCAAATAAAAAAAAATAATGAAATTAAAAAATAATAATAGAAAGAAGAAAAGAGAAGAATTAAATTAAAAAAATAATAAAATTAAAAAAGAAAGAACAAAAAGAAGAAAAGAAAAAAAGGAAAAATTGAATAAAAAAAATTATAAAAAAATAAAAATAAAGTAATGAAATTAAAAAAAGAGAACAGAAGAAAAGAAAAGAGAATCAAATAAAAAATAATAAAATTAAAAAAAAAAAGAATAAAAAAAATATAAAAAAAATTAAAAAATAAAATTTTTAAATTTAAATTATCATTATAGATCAATCTGATTAATCTAATTGAATGATATTTTATTATATCAAATTATTCATTATATATATTAAATAATTCATTATAGTGATAATAATTTTCTTATTATAAAAGTCTAATCAGTCTAAATATCAAATTTATTATATTAAATTTTGATTATAATTTTTTAATTTTTTAACTATGGCTTTGTATGCCTTACTTTATTTTTTAACTTTTTTTTTTTTTTTGTTTAAATCCTATTTAGCTGATTAATGAATTTTCTAAATTAAGAGTTATCACATTAAAAAATTGTTTTTAGTTATTTACCAAGTTATTAATTATTAAGAATAATAACTTTTTTACTTACTCTTTATCTATTTCTTTTAACTTAAAATTTTTTTTATATTTTACTTATAATTTAAGATCAGTACTTATGAACTTAACTTAAATTATAAACTTCAGATATAAATTAGTTTTTGTTTATTTTTTATTTAATTCAATTAAAATTTATTTGATAATATCTACCTTTATTATTATTGAAAAAAATAGCAATAAAAATCTAAATTAATAATAAATTTACTTTTTTACTTATTTTTTTATTATTAATAAGAAAGAGTAAATCTTAACTAATGCTAATATTTACCAATTAAAATGACTTTTACTATAATAGATGTTAAATTATTTGAAAGATTAATGATAGATGAAATCTTTATCAGTTAATTTTCTTTTTATTATAGTAATAAAGTTTTTATTAATAAGTCTTTTTATTTAGCCTGATTATTATATTAAACTTATTATGCTTGCAAGTTAAATATTTCTATCATAGTATTAATTTTGATTAAGTTTTTTTAACTCAATTTCTATCACTAAAAAATATAACTTAATTAATAAAATCTAATTAAATAATAATCATTACCAAAATTAATATAGCTATTAAAGTATTATAACTTAATTTAGTTAATATTAATTTTAGTATTTTATCTAATATTAAATATTTAACATTATAATTTTTTTAATATTCTAATTATTTATTAATTAATTCAGACTTAGATAAAAATACCAAACATTTTTAGTTACTAACTTATTATCTAAATCAATTTCTTAGACTTTATTATTTTATATTTAGCATCAATCTACTTATATATATTTATTCTTATTTTTTTAATATTAAAATTAAAAAGGGTGATTAGAAAAATTAAAGTTAATCAAATTACTTTATAGTCTAATTGTTAGATTAATTCTTAGATTTTCATATAAGTTGTTAAATCTTTTTTAAAAAAATAGCTTTTATCAAAAAAAAATAATAGTATTATCTTTATTAATTAATGTTTCTTTAATAGTTATTTTTTTTAGGTAATATGATCTTTATTAGCACTAGAAAAGCAATTTATTTTATTTATATTATTTTATTATAGACCACAAATTTTTTCACATCACGTGACTATATAATTTTCATTTTTATTTATATTGAAT